ATATTACTTGATAAATTAGGAACAGTTATCTTTAAATACATTTTCAGTATTTTACAGAATCTTTAAATTTATATTTATTCAAATTTAGATGTGTATGTCTACATAACTTTTTAATTGAAAATACAAGAATAACACATTAATAAACATTTGTTGTATTAATCTCAATTATAATTAGCACAAAAAATTGCAAGTTATAAACCATATAAAAACAGAAGCTTTTTTTTGCATTTTTTCCTTCAAACCAAAAGAGAATTAACGTACATAACAAGAAAAAGTATGAAAGTGTTGCACTCTAAGCATTTTTGATGTTTTCTTTTCTATTTTCTATAAAATATGAATCAGCTTTTCTAATTGAAAAAAAAATGTACCAGCTGAAGCCAAGATTGTACAAATAAGTGCATTTTTCAGAGCAGTCATTCTTTCTTCATCATGTATAATAGTACGATATGATAATTCATTATACCTCTGAGCTGCCTCAATGAACTTGCGTCTGTAGTCTAACACTCTAGCGTAGCATACCTAAAGCAATTTTAAAATTTCCCAAATTGATCATAAAATAAATTACTAAAATATTTTGTAGTTACAATATTTACATTTAACTTGAAAGTTACTTTAAATCTCATTTCTGAATATATATAAAATTTATTTATTAAAATATATTTTCAACTTTTCTTCTTATTCTTTTAATTTTATAAGTGAAAAAGCCAAACTTTCTCAAAAATCACAAAGCTTTATTTTAATAAGCACTTTCAAAGATGCTTGATCTTTATCTCACTCTAAGAGTTTGAGATCTGATAATCAGATCCAATATTTTAACATAATATAGCTATATCATCAGATGATGGCTATCAAAATATATTATGTCTTTCTAAGAAAGCTTGGTTAATCTTTCAATTACAAAAATTATTTACGTATTAAAGTGAAAAGTTTATTATTATTATTATTTTAACTGTATAAATTTCAGAAACTAAAAGTCAACAGAAAAACTAGTACTTTCAAAACATTACCTTATAATAAATCTGCAGCTGCTCGTTATTAGATTCAGCTTGCAATAAAGAGGCTCGATTTATAAAAGCTTCGGCTTGAACAGGATCGTCATCTTCCAAATATAATCTTGCAATTTTTAAATATGTTTCCAATTTATAATCAACTGAATATTGTCTGAAATAAAGATACTTTCTTTATAATGTAGAAGAATAAATGATTATTTAATCAGATTGAATTAGTAAGCAACATTTACTTAAAAAACTTTAAAAAACTTATATCAATTAGAATTAATGATGCTTTTGATATAAGAAATATTTCATTTTTGTTTAACTTTCTTATAAATCTACTTTTATATTTTATTCAAAGTCCACTTTCATTAAACATTTATTCCTTATATCAATTTTTATTCTATTACTGCCCCTGTAAGAAATTAGAACGATTGACAGAATGCAAGCAAAATTAGTAATAAATTGATTGAAAGAATAAAATGAATTTCTTACAAACAGAAGATACAGTAGAGCATTGTTTATCTGAATCAATTGGGGACTGGGGTCGTTCGGATAACTTATTTTTCAGATAACCAATTATGTATGAAAAAATATTTTAACCTATCCCATGTTGAAATTTTTCTCGGATGCCTGTTGCTTCGCATTGAATTTTTGTCGATGTTAAGCATAACGTAAATTTTTAAAAATAATAATCGTGGCTATTGTATCGTTAAAAATTATTTCTTTATTTTATATAAACAAAATAAATATATTGAAAAATATAAAAACAAAAATTATATTTTGGAAGTTAATCTAGTATCAAAAACATTCAATTCAGCATGACACAGTCCAACTGGAATGCCTTCTAACCGAAAGTGTTCCAGTCCAAAAGTGATCAACCAAAGGCTTTCGGATAAACGCCACTCTACTGTAATTAAATCAATCAAGAGAATATGAAAAAAATGTCTTTTATTTACATTATTACTCTTTATTTATATCAAAAACATTTTTACAAACAGGACTTTTAACTTTTGTCCTGTTTTAGTTTTAAATTTGTTTTAAATAAAATCTAAGAAAAATAAAAACAACAACCATTCAGAAAGCATATCTGGTCTAGATGGAAAAAATATACATATAAGCAAAGAGATAAAAAGTGTATAGGAAATTATTGAAACACACAATAATAAGAAGAAAGAATATAACCTTAGAAGATATAAAGGAAAATTCATAAAAGTAAAAAAAATCTGATTATTACTATAGCTAACAAAGATGGAATCCTGTTAACAGTAACAAAAGATTATACAGTAATACCTCGACTTACGCGAACCCGGAGTTACGCGATTTTCAAATCTCGTCGATTCGTCTTTTGTTTGAGTGCCACGCAACCCTTGATTACTCACTCCCCCCACACTATTGTTCAGCTTACACGTTCCTCACTCCCCCCACACTATTGTTCAGCTTACACGTTCCTCACTCCCCCCACACTATTGTTCAGCTTACATGTTCGAATGTGTCGCACGGAATCGACACACAGCTATAATTTATTTTGTGTTATTTATTTGTGTTTGTTATATCTACGGAGACTGGAGAGACTCTACTATGTCATCCAAACGAAGTAAAACTAATTCTTCTGCATCAAACAAGAAAAGAAAAACTTTATGTTTGGAATGCAAAGTTAACATTGGGTATGTTCGTAAAGTCGAACGAGTTAAACGAGAATGACGTCATCGTTATTCCTATTTCGTTAGACTTTTCGAACGATTCATTACTAATGCGTTTAACTCGTTTGACTTTACGAACGTACCCATTATTTATATACTAAACTTTCAAACGATCGCCTAAATAATGGGCTATAATATGGTTACTTAAATGATTAGAAAAATAAAGCAATTTGTCCTAAGAGGTAAGCATTAGGCGCCATCTCGTAAATAAATAAATAATTAATTAAATTAAATTTAGAACCTTCTGGAATAAAAGAACTGGCCCGGGACAGGGCTTGAACCCGCAACCTCTGCTTACCGTGTGGTGCGCTACCAGTTACGCCACCCGGACCCCGAGCAAGCCTTCGCTTCCAGAAGTATATATAATAGATTAGATATAACCTTACTCGGTTAAATACATCACTGACTGGGGGCGACTTCATCGCCCACGACCCTCNTTAAATGAATATTTTGTTCATATACAAAATTAAAAGCAAGATACATTAAAAACATCACAGATCCCTATCATTATTTCATAAATTTTGTTCAACATAGAATTTCAGCAAACATATGTTTAATTAAAATATACCATATTTACTCACATATAAGACGACCTCACATATAGGATAAGGTGTGACTTTAAAGATCAAAATAAAGAAAATTAGATTTATTAATACAATTTTAATTTTATTTTTTTAACCACAAGTAAAATATCAAATGAACATAAATGCACACATTGTCCCACAAAAATTACTGGCATTTTAAATAAAGAAAAATCTTATAAAATCGACAACATAATTTGATCATGTAAAGCTGAACAATTGGGAACCATTTTTGCCAATTCTTAACTCTCCATCGATTACACTTATGAGTTTCTCTAAATTATGATTTCCGAATAATCATCTATTTTACATGGAAATGAATTAAAACTTATATCAGGCTCCCATGTGATTTTGGAATTTCAATCTGGAATTCAATTCAAAAGCTTTGCTTTTCTTATTGCTATTCACCTTTATTCCTGACAATATACAAGAATGATTCAAACAATCCAGATAAAATACTTATGTTTTTAAATACGAGAGGGTTGCATCCGATAAGAAATGCAAATACACGTAAGTGAAAAGAATCTTTCACTTGCTCATATAGGATGATCTAGGAATTTGAAGCTATGCTAAAAGAATAATAACCTCGTCTTATATACAAGCAAATACAGTAATTGTGATGCAATAAATTAAATTTAATATATATTTTTGAAAGCTTTTAACAAACTTATATTATATATAATACTTCTATTATAGTAATAGCAAATATATAATAGATTAAATAATTTTTATAAGTAAATTATTTGATAATTGACAATTTATCACTAACAATAATCATCATAATCTGTTAAAATCTTAATAAAGAGATAATTTTGGTCTATTATAATGCCAAACTTATGCAATCAGTAAATATTTTAATTAGTCAATAATTGGGAACACTTCCAAAATAGAACTGAACAATACAATCAATAATTTTTGACAAACTATTAAATATAATATATACTTAAACATAACTTATATAGCTATATTATCCTAATATTCAAAATTCTAAGCAATTTATCATTAAAATTATTATTAATTGACATCTACATTAATTTATCAAATTATAATAAATAATAATCATTATCAATACAAACAACAATAAAAGCCAATTCATACTCTAAGAGAACAAAAAAGGAGAGAGAATATACTTGTTCTCATTTCACAAGCATTCATATTTCAAAATTATGGAAAAAACAAGCATGTACTTGCAATGTCAGTAGCAATATGTTAGTTTTTAACAATATTCAAAAGTACACATTGAAGTAAATCTAACTTATAAAATGCTTACAGTATTGAGAAAGTTTGCATGTTAAATAGCTTTAACAAGAGAGAATAAAAAATTATTTTTAATTTTTTACTCATTCCACTCTGATTATATTACTTGATAAATTAGGAACAGTTATCTTTAAATACATTTTCAGTATTTTACAGAATCTTTAAATTTATATTTATTCAAATTTAGATGTGTATGTCTACATAACTTTTTAATTGAAAATACAAGAATAACACATTAATAAACATTTGTTGTATTAATCTCAATTATAATTAGCACAAAAAATTGCAAGTTATAAACCATATAAAAACAGAAGCTTTTTTTTGCATTTTTTCCTTCAAACCAAAAGAGAATTAACGTACATAACAAGAAAAAGTATGAAAGTGTTGCACTCTAAGCATTTTTGATGTTTTCTTTTCTATTTTCTATAAAATATGAATCAGCTTTTCTAATTGAAAAAAAAATGTACCAGCTGAAGCCAAGATTGTACAAATAAGTGCATTTTTCAGAGCAGTCATTCTTTCTTCATCATGTATAATAGTACGATATGATAATTCATTATACCTCTGAGCTGCCTCAATGAACTTGCGTCTGTAGTCTAACACTCTAGCGTAGCATACCTAAAGCAATTTTAAAATTTCCCAAATTGATCATAAAATAAATTACTAAAATAATTTGTAGTTACAATATTTACATTTAACTTGAAAGTTACTTTAAATCTCATTTCTGAATATATATAAAATTTATTTATTAAAATATATTTTCAACTTTTCTTCTTATTCTTTTAATTTTATAAGTGAAAAAGCCAAACTTTCTCAAAAATCACAAAGCTTTATTTTAATAAGCACTTTCAAAGATGCTTGATCTTTATCTCACTCTAAGAGTTTGAGATCTGATAATCAGATCCAATATTTTAACATAATATAGCTATATCATCAGATGATGGCTATCAAAATATATTATGTCTTTCTAAGAAAGCTTGGTTAATCTTTCAATTACAAAAATTATTTACGTATTAAAGTGAAAAGTTTATTATTATTATTATTTTAACTGTATAAATTTCAGAAACTAAAAGCCAACAGAAAAACTAGTACTTTCAAAACATTACCTTATAATAAATCTGCAGCTGCTCGTTATTAGATTCAGCTTGCAATAAAGAGGCTCGATTTATAAAAGCTTCGGCTTGAACAGGATCGTCATCTTCCAAATATAATCTTGCAATTTTTAAATATGTTTCCAATTTATAATCAACTGAATATTGTCTGAAATAAAGATACTTTCTTTATAATGTAGAAGAATAAATGATTATTTAATCAGATTGAATTAGTAAGCAACATTTACTTAAAAAACTTTAAAAAACTTATATCAATTAGAATTAATGATGCTTTTGATATAAGAAATATTTCATTTTTGTTTAACTTTCTTATAAATCTACTTTTATATTTTATTCAAAGTCCACTTTCATTAAACATTTATTCCTTATATCAATTTTTATTCTATTACTGCCCCTGTAAGAAATTAGAACGATTGACAGAATGCAAGCAAAATTAGTAATAAATTGATTGAAAGAATAAAATGAATTTCTTACAAACAGAAGATACAGTAGAGCATTGTTTATCTGAATCAATTGGGGACTGGGGTCGTTCGGATAACTTATTTTTCAGATAACCAATTATGTATGAAAAAATATTTTAACCTATCCCATGTTGAAATTTTTCTCGGATGCCTGTTGCTTCGCATTGAATTTTTGTCGATGTTAAGCATAACGTAAATTTTTAAAAATAATAATCGTGGCTATTGTATCGTTAAAAATTATTTCTTTATTTTATATAAACAAAATAAATATATTGAAAAATATAAAAACAAAAATTATATTTTGGAAGTTAATCTAGTATCAAAAACATTCAATTCAGCATGACACAGTCCAACTGGAATGCCTTCTAACCGAAAGTGTTCCAGTCCAAAAGTGATCAACCAAAGGCTTTCGGATAAACGCCACTCTACTGTAATTAAATCAATCAAGAGAATATGAAAAAAATGTCTTTTATTTACATTATTACTCTTTATTTATATCAAAAACATTTTTACAAACAGGACTTTTAACTTTTGTCCTGTTTTAGTTTTAAATTTGTTTTAAATAAAATCTAAGAAAAATAAAAACAACAACCATTCAGAAAGCATATCTGGTCTAGATGGAAAAAATATACATATAAGCAAAGAGATAAAAAGTGTATAGGAAATTATTGAAACACACAATAATAAGAAGAAAGAATATAACCTTAGAAGATATAAAGGAAAATTCATAAAAGTAAAAAAAATCTGATTATTACTATAGCTAACAAAGATGGAATCCTGTTAACAGTAACAAAAGATTATACAGTAATACCTCGACTTACGCGAACCCGGAGTTACGCGATTTTCAAATCTCGTCGATTCGTCTTTTGTTTGAGTGCCACGCAACCCTTGATTACTCACTCCCCCCACACTATTGTTCAGCTTACATGTTCGAATGTGTCGCACGGAATCGACACACAGCTATAATTTATTTTGTGTTATTTATTTGTGTTTGTTATATCTACGGAGACTGGAGAGACTCTACTATGTCATCCAAACGAAGTAAAACTAATTCTTCTGCATCAAACAAGAAAAGAAAAACTTTATGTTTGGAATGCAAAGTTAACATTGGGTATGTTCGTAAAGTCGAACGAGTTAAACGAGAATGACGTCATCGTTATTCCTATTTCGTTAGACTTTTCGAACGATTCGTTACTAACGCGTTTAACTCGTTTGACTTTACGAACGTACCCATTATTAAAGACTTCGATACAAAAATGAAAATTTGTGAATTGGCAAAGAAGTTTGATCTACCGGAATTGTCGGTCAGAACAATTATAAAAGGCAAAGAAAAAATTCTCGAAGCTGTGAAAAATGCTCAATCTTTAAATTCAAGCATCATTCGTAAACGTCACAGTATTATCGCTGAGATGGAAACAATGTTAAAATTATGGCGTAATAATCAAGTAAATGTGAAAAATTGTAAAATAATATAGGCCTAATTTGTTATACATATGTATTATCTAAGATTTTATTAAACATTTTTTTTTCTAAATTATTGTTTTCTTTAGTCTCCGGCCCCAATTAAAAATTATTTGTATGTATTTATATGCGAAATTATACCCCGACTTACGTGAATTCGACTTACGCGGTTACCACTCGGTCCCATCTATCGCGTAAGTTTGGGGTATTACTGTACAGTATATAATGATTCATGAGGCACATCAAAGTACAATTTTAACACACCCAACGGCTCAGCTAATAGAAATGATCCCAAATAGAGTATGGAGATTTTCTTTTACTCTTTCAACCTATAGGAACTGAGAAAGCTGTTTTCAGACCCTCTTTAGGTTTGGCCAGGTCTACAATAAGATTGTTGGATGGTGAGAGTCACATTTGGAATAAACCATGCTCAAAAAATTCTTGGGGTTTTTCAACCTGTGGATTTGACCTGGGTTCTCAGAGCAGTAGGCTAGCACCTTATTGCCTCAGTAACTGGTTGGCAGAGTAAGAACATTAAAGCCAAATTCTTAATGATAAAATTGCAAATTAGTCTATCTACAACAGCTTTATCATAGAGTATTTTTGGATTTTATTTAACCTTCCAAAAAATTGACCAATAAAACTTATAGTATAGAAAACAATAGGATCCTCACTATAGTGGCAGATAATAGTGATGAACTGCTTGAACATCATACAAAATGCTCTCTGAGAGTAATGCATAAGATAAATCTTATATATTTTTAATTGTATTGATTATACAGTACATATATAACTTATATGCATTTTTTGTTAAATTTATTACTTTTGCATCTACACAATATTATGAATTATTTCACCAACAACTATAAACTCACTTTTGACCAGTTTCTAAGGGAATTCCTACAAGAACATTAGCAGCTTCTCTCCAACATTGTTCTTTTTCATAAATATCTGCCAGATGTTGTCGAATACTTGCTACCTACATAAACAAATGAGATAAACAGAATAAAAAGTTTCAATAAATTGATTTAAAAATGAGATAATCATTGCTATTAACAAAGAAGATATGAAATTATTTTTATACTAAAAAATAAAAACAATTACTATCTAAACACAGATAAAATAACCAAAATCAAAATATCTATTTAGAATTTATAACCAAATGTTTAAAGACCAGAATTCTTTGAGCTATTGTTCGGCTATACTTTAATCATTGTAACTAAGTAGTTTTGAACTAAATGTAAGTAATCAGTCCATCATCTATCAATAGTACTATTTTAAAAATTATGTTCATTTTAGAATTAAATTTAATAATTTAGAATATCTTGAATAAAAGATCACTGTAGACTTCTAGAATGGGACTCAAACTCAAAACATCTAATTACTCAACAGATGCAGCATTATCAGTTATACTACATAACTATACATATGATTACTGTTATCACAAGATGGTTCAATGAATATTTGGTTATATATCAATATAATTATTATTATCTATATCCATTTTATATATATATATTAAAAGCAAAATGTTCAATCACTGCCAATTGAAACTGAAACTAACACTTTACAAAGAAGTGCTATAAATAGAGACTTGACTCTGCCTGGATGAAATATAACCAAATCAATCAATACAGACAAGTACATTATCCACACTTTCAAAATTGTCC